ACCCAATGAACATTAATTAACCATTATAACTGTTAATAATCAGCTAATTATTATTCATATATATTGAGTAATTAATTAAAAATGGCTACGTGTAGGCTATTTCATGCTAGATACTACATGTAGTCGGAATCGCACTCAGTACCACCAATACTCTCAGTTGAAGTACTCGGTATCGAACCGAAATGGATAAATTTGATACCGCCCATCACTAGTTCTTATGCTATGTATGTCCAAAAGTTTAAGTAATCAATCATCAAAAATTTATACTTTTACCCATTCAAAATTACTATAGCTATATTCAAATGTACCTTGTCCAATTTATCAACGGCAGAACAGATTGGTTTGAATTTATCACCAGGAACACCAAAGGCAGCAAACATACCATCCAATATCTTCCTATGATTCATCTAGCAATAAATAAATAAATAAAAACAAATAGTAATCTACAATGACTGATGATGATAGTATGCACAAAATTTATCATAGTATCATAATTCGCTTGCTAACATTTATTTTAAAAGTTCCCACTTTGAACATTCTGAATCCAAAATACTCACGTGATAAGAACACGTTGTGTCACGTGGTTATGGTTATTCATAGTGACATAATAATATTCATAGCATGACTCAGGGGAAAATTGAGGGTTGGAATTGGCTAGTGAAACTAAGTGAAAGTAGTGATTCCCTGTGAAGATGAGCAGTTACAGATCGCATAGAAGTGACAGGACTTCAAGACGTAGCGCTCATTCTACAACGAGCACTAGAGTAGTCTCGGCAGCTAGATCATTTCCCAGGCTACAACCCGGGACTAAACCCACGGTCACAGGGGGGAGACAGTACACCATCAAGGTAAATCATCTTCCTCTTGATACCAAGGAAAGGGAAGTGTATGAATATTACAGAAATTTTGGATCCATTTCTAATCTCAGAGTCATATCCAGCTCCAGTGAATCCTATGCTCTCATTAATTATGAAACCGACACTGATGCTGAAGAGGCAATGAGACATACCAATGGTAAAGAAGTTTTTGGCTGCACTGTTAGAGTAGTATGTAAATGGAAAGACAACGCTCAAGTTCAACACACTCTGAAAGTGACAAATCTCTCGCTGAATGTAACTCAGGAGGAAATGGAAGATGTTTGTCGTAGCTATACAGATTATCAAAGTCTTAAAGTTAATAAGGGATATGCTTATGTCAATTTTTCATCACTACAAGGTGCAGCAACAGCAATGGAATTTTTAAAGAAAGTGAAATTTTATGGGCAATGCCCCATCGTCAAATTACAAGATAAAGATTCTATTCAAGTCTCTCCTAATCCTCCTCAAATTCAGGCCTACACCTTCTCACCTTCTTTTACTCATCCTCCAGCCCATAGTCCTCTTCCTTCAGCTTCACCTGATGGTTGTATTCCTCTTCCAACTCAAACTCATATTCCTCCTCTAGCTCGTGTTTTTCCTCGTGTCCCTCTTTCAGCTCCTCATTCTCATGCCTTTCCTTTTCCTGTTTGTCACTCGTCTCAAGCTCAGCTTAGTCATAACAGGAAATCCACAGCACAGTCAAGCACAGGAGAATCATCAACTATTAAAGCTACATTTGGTTCTAGTGGAATTACAGGTATTTTTATACATGTGCATAGTTATGACAAATTCACATTATAATTTATCAATATTCTCTATAATTGCAGGTGAGGTTCTAGAGGCATACTTTTGTCAATTTGGTAAGGTCCTGAAAACTGCTATAATATCAGGGAATCCTGACTATGCATATGTCAATTTGAGTCAAGTGAAGAAGCAAAGGCTGCCTGTACCTCAAAAAAGGTGCATCTCGATGGTGTGCAGGTGAATATCAAACTCAGTAAAAAGCAGCTGTCAGTTGAAAAGGGTTCAAAAGTGGTTACTTATGAGGAAGATATACTTGTTAATTTAATTACTACTTACAAATTTCCAGAATTGGAGTTTCAGCTTTCTAATGTGTCTGCAAAACCATTAAAAGATGGAAGAGGCATTCTTATTTCCGGTGACAAGGATAAAGTAGAAATGGCCGAAAGTATTGTACGATTACATATGCAGCTACTTCAAAGTCAGATAATAACAGAGTCGATCAATCTCGATTGTCAGTTCATACCTTTATTAAAAGATCCTCAATTATTTCAGAATATAGAGCAGGAGAATGGTGTGGAGTTTAGTATAAAGCTGTCTAATGGTTCTACCAAATCTATTGTTACTTTCTCCAGTACGATAGCTAGTGCAATGTCTAGTTCATATCCATTGACTATTGAGAGTATTTCTGATTATTTAACTAGTTCAGGTGCTAGTGTTGTCTCTTGGAAATTCTTGGATGATGATCACAAATTCACACTCATGAGTGCTACTGATTCAGCTGAAATTGAAAAACTCTATCAGCAACATCTTCATTCACAACGTCTCATTCATCATTCTCTAATTTCTCCTTCTTACAGCATAGGGAAATGGCGATACACTTATGATTTTGATGACATGATACAGTCCAACACCACAACACAAAAGGAACGTAAAATCAAACGCATACCAGCTCTAGATTCATCATCACTCTGTCTATCCTGTCGTGGTTTAAAGGAAAGTGTTCAAGTTTCTATAGCTAGTTTACGTAAGAAATTAGAAGGGATGGTTACCATGAAAGCATTTGGAGGCTGCAGTACTGAGCATATCATTGAGTTGGCACAATCATTTTGTGTCAAAGTGGAATCATCATTTCCTAATATTTTAGTGTTTGGTGATGGTGACTATTTGACAAAAGTATTTCTTGTTCTAGCAGAAAAACGAGCCAGCCTTCAATCTGTTCCACTTTCATCATCGTCATCTTTTCCTCCTGAGTGGGAGCCACAAACTAAAAATACTGAACTGAAATCTGTTAAAGTAAGCTCTCTTGAATGGACTAAGGTTGTGAGTGCTATCAAGAAGACAATGGTGGGATCTGGTGCAAATATTTTAAAAATTGAGAGGATACAGAACAAATTTTTATACGAAAAATATGACTTATGCAAGAAAAGAATGCACGAGAAAAATAATG